TTGAAAAATTGGCCTTTTTTGAGGAAGGTATACTCTTAACACAAGTTAAGCTGGCTGAGAATTTTTAATGTTTGAAATAATTATGTAGGCTTGAGTTATTAGAGAAAATAAACAAGATCACTTCAAACTGAATGGGACTTGAATGCTTAATAACCTTTATGGGTTTTTTGTGAAGCTTTCTGTCTCAATGACTCAAGCCTTAAAATGTGGATCATAACTGAATCCACAAAGTACCCTACTTTTTTTTGTGACTTCAGTAGTACTAAAATAAGATCTAACCTTTGAAATGAAAGGGTCACATGGGGGCAGGAGAGGATAAGGCACACAAGGATTACTGTGCTAAATGGTTTCTTTTCAGTTACAACTACATAATTCTTTTCCCTTCTACAAGGTAGCTGAAGGTTCACGGCTAGATTTTAAAATCATACGCAAGCAAATGTAATTGCTTAATTAGTGTTTTAAAAACGGCTAAGGTTTCTAAGTTTCTAACGCCATTCAGCTAAGCCCAATAGGGAATTCTACAATGAATGTTAATAGTACAATAAGGGCTTAAGTTTATGTAGTATAGTTAGGATGTAGAATCTGCAGTATGTCTACAGATTCTGTCTGTACTGCTGCACCTTACCATAATATCAGGTGTTAATGACTAAGTGCTCTTCAGAAAGCTATTTTCCCATGTTGTCACTCATACGGTGACCCTGCCAGGCTGTTAGAAATGGTGTTTTGAAATCATAATTCTGTGGCATGAAATATCTAGCCCTAGCAGAACAGGTCTGCTATTCAAAAAAAAAAAAAAATTTTGTTTTAAGATTTGTTAAGAATAGTCTGAAGTACTAATCCTCTGATCTAAGACCATTTGTGTGTGCACGCACTTCAGACCTCTGCATCTACCACAGACTAACTTCTAGATGTTGCAGCACAGAACAGTTCTCCAGTCAGTCTCTAACGGAAATACTGCTGTGCTTATGTTGTATGTGGGGTTAGTAGTTACATGATCACAGCCCAAATTCAAGTGCAGTCAGTTACTTTTGCAATCAGGATGCAGCTCGGGTAGCTGATTTTTACTGAATTCTTAGTACAGTAAACAGTGTGAACTTTCTGACAGCTTAGGGGGCATCCCATCATAGTCCTGATCGTGTCCAGCTCTCCCTCTAACAGGAATAGCGTAAGCTGCTAAGGCCCTCAGGGAGTAGTGTTAGCCCTCCAAAATGTATTTTATTGGGATTCTTTTCTTTAACCTAATAACAAATAGTAGCGATCAAACTAAGGAGTCCTCAGATAAAGAGCAGTATCAGTGATGAACTCATCTGACATGGCTGTATTAATAAAAACCTGAAACTGTCGTGCAACAGAACATATAATCCACTTCCCTGTCTGTGCTTTGTGAACTCAGCTTCCACAATTCAACTTCTTTCTTTCATTCTGTGACTGTATTTTTCTTTATAATCAGAGTTGACTTCTTTCTCTCTTGCTCTTTCCTTAATCTAATGTTCCCTTACTATTCCTTTTTCCTTCTTCCTGTACATGAAGGACAAGGAATAATATAACATTTGTAGCACATAAACCTAGAGAAAGTTAATTGTTGGCAACAGTCTTTGACTCTGCACCTTTTAAGTATTTATTATGGACCAGAATGGGTCAGACTCATGTTAAATGTGAAAGGGGACAGACACAGGCATAGGAAGCACCGCTTGCATACTCTCTAGCGGTGCAATTATGAGGTCGACTCATTATTTGAGGGAATGATAGGGGTAGAGCATAGCCAAGTAGTTGTCTACAGAAGAAAGCGTTTGTAGCAGCCTCTGGAAGAGTATCAAATCTATACTATAGAACTACTGACCTCCTGAGCCATCTTAAGTGCAGGAGCATAAATAATGACTTGGTGTAGTGTTAAGTACACAGCCAGTATGCTGACTGAAGCAGCCCTTCTTGGAAATATATAAAGCTATTAATTGTCTGCAGTTTTGCAAACTATCACCTAGTTTTCACGTTAATAGCTAAGCAAGCTGATTGAGAATTTGCACATCTAAGTACCCCTTACAGCACCTGATAGCCTCCAGGATCTCTTATTCCTTTTGATCAATGCTACATACAATTCTTTCTCTTTTAGTCCTGCTAAGCAATTACTAGCCCTAATGGAATTCCACAACTGCACTTTCAACAGTCTTTTAAGCTGCTCTTAACATCTGTCATGCTTCTTCCTGGACAGATTTCTGATTTCATTAAAGAAAAAATATTTTCTTTACTATAATCCAGTTGCCCTGCTTCTGCCTTTCTATTACCACTTATTATACTTTACAAAAAGGATCCTTGTGATTTCTCCTGTGTTATCTCTTAAATTGAGTTGCCTCTAAGTATCCATGACGTTCCACTGTTTTAATCCAGACCTCTATAATAATTCTTTTACCGTGATGCTTACAGAAAACCTTTGAAGTCAATAAGCAACAAAAGCCATAAGACCTGCGAGACTGATATTTCTTTCTACTACTTTTTATGCTTGTATATTGGCTATGCTTAAACCAAAAATAGTTTAGGCTCTCCTTAAATTCTGTTAATATAGCACGCTTATACAGCATAAACTTCCTTTATGTAGCCTGACACTTAACATATACCCATAGAAAACTTACCCACAGCCTGAAATTTGCTGTAAGACTTTAATGTCAGCAGATTAGTTAATTTATGAAAAAATGAGAAATTCAAAATATCTGGCATCTTGGTCAGCTCTCAGTACACAGTGTTCTAAGCAATGTTGCATTGATTCCACATAATGTTCCCTGTACTTCAGTGTAATCTGAGGTGATCTGACTCAGGTGACTGACATGCCGCCCCCCCCCCCCAGGTCAGCCTTCCTCCTTGCTGTGTCATGAGAAATAGCTGGACGCTCAAACCACAGACAGATTTCAAGCAGTGGTAAACAAGGACCAAAGAATTAGGAGGAAAAATAAGAGGAACTCAAATGAGATGAAATCATCATTTTTCTGAGATGGAATCGGAAGGGTCTGAGTATCTCGAGAGTTTATGAATAAAGATTACTCATCTCCAAGTCACTGCTTTGAAACTCACTTAAACAATCAAGAAAAGTCTCTGCTTTCTATCATCTTTCTTGTATAGTCTATAGGATGGATATGTATTGTAATCATCAAGAACCATAAAGTATCATAAGACGCAGTGTTCTGGACCAAAGCTGTACTAGGTATTAGGCAGTTAGGTTAGGGATTAGGTATTTTAGGAGACATTTTGAATATTCACTGTTTATTGGCTGAATGGACCTATTGAAAGCCCTGTAGTTCTGTGATAAGGGTGCATTAGCGTAGATGAAGCAGTCGGTCTTGCTATGCTGACCAACCTGATGTCCTTCTGTTAAAGAAAGAAGTAGTTTGCAGTGCCGTAAGCTTATGTTTCTGTATCGACTCTTACGGACCCAGTTATATCACAGCTAAATCTATGTTTCCAAAAATATTAAAACAGTGGCTCTTTATCTGTCCATATCAACGTTTGTAAGAATTACTCCATTTGCTCTGTAGAAAGGCAATGTTAGTTGTGAAGGCTGCTGTTTTAGCATCTTTCACCACACCTCAAACAGCCTCAGAGAACATAGTTCTTAAAGATAACAAACTTCTGAAGCTGCCTTGTAAGGCCATTAATATGAACGTAAGAGTCGGGACAGTTCTAGTTCCCCTGCCGTGTTACAAGTACTTCAGTACCTCAGCTGTGAGTAAAAAGCAGTGGAAGAAAATGTGAGGTCTAATTACTGAGGCAGAAAATGCATGCTAACTGCTGTCAAAGCACAGATGTAGAATACATCGGATGTGCTGCTTTTCTACCTGTTGATGGCTGTGAGAAAAGTATTCTCCTTGAGTAACCAGTTCAGTTTATGGCTCTGTACTAAATGCTGTAATTTCAGTCCAAGAGCAGCTCCTCTTAGTAAACGATTCTGAATCCTGTGAATAGCAGGCTTCAATCCAGAACTGCCCTAACCAATCATTTCATTATTCCCTGGAATGTACTTACTGATGTGGGAACTTCACTGGTTCCTTTTTAAGATTCCCAGATGCTGTGTAAGAAGCAGCCCGAGCAGCAAAGTTCACTCATCTGTAAATGAGTGACAAGTAAAACAACAAGTCTGACTCACTACTCCCTACCTATTAATATAAAGCAGTAGCAAACCCACAGTGGTAGACATTATTTTACTGACTCTATATATAATCTGGTCACTGATCTCTTTATAGTCTATCCTGGGTCCCACACAAGGCACTTTGCATGCAGTCAGTGCTCACAAAAGGGCTTGCTGAGTAGCAAAGGGCAGCAGAAGAGCTGCTTCATTCATGAGATGCACATGCACAGATGGTTAAGGGTTTAGCCCAATTCTTAATAAGAAGATTGACTGCAGCTAGGTATAGGATATAGACTGACAGAAAGGAAACCTCTGGTCAGGTAGCTTGTACTAAACCTTGTTTGGGTGTTTTCCCAAACTGTTAGTTGTGAACTACTTGGTTCCTGGTAGCCTGGAACTCTAGCTCAGTTACGCTGTTCATGTGCTTATTAAACCTTTATCTGTTCTGTCTTGTTATTGAATAGTGAGTGATAGAACATATAGAGAAATACAACTTCCCCTCTGTATGCAGTAGTTAACTAAAGTTGCTGCCTTTATTGTGAGAAATTGCTATATGCTAAGAAATGATTATAAAAATACTCAATGTGCTAATAACTAAGGAGTCATTAGTAAGGTAAAGAAAGAGTGGTAGGTAGGTGGGGCCTAAGAGATTTCATCTGCTTTTTACTCTTTGCTGCAAATGGAAGTTCTTGCTGAAGTGCTGTTTCTAGCTTTCCTTTTATCTCAGTGAAGGAGATCTATTAATGGAAATCCCTTCATGGTGTGGCCTTTTCTGTTATTGAGGAAAAAAAAGCCCTTTTTTCAAAACAAACTGGAATAACAAATACATATGCAAAGTTCAGAGAAATATTGTTACATTAACAGGTAAGGATTTAACTTCTCTGTGTATATTTTGGTTGATAGATCAAATTAGTACAACCCAAGTATCCTTGGTTGCTACATAAGCAGCTTTTGATAAGGAAGATCTGGTTAGTCTTTCGTAGTATTTTTGTAAAGATGAGTTATGTAGTTACTTCACAGCTGTCCAGAACACAAGGTACAGGATATTATGATATATTTCTCAGTAATCAGTAGTTATCTTATTCTTATCATTACAAATCATTGATGTAAAAGTAAGCAAAAGAAAGTTTAAAATGTTAGGCACAACAGAAAAAAAAATTCAAAAGAAAACATTTATGCATGCTATGCAGTTTTTTCACAGCCTATACACATTCACAAAAGTAAAACAAGTTCCTTGCAAGCTCTAAATTTACTGGTTTCTTAAAGACAGTCCCCCCCTCTTCTATATAAAAAGAAAAAAAAGTAATCTTTTTTTTCCCCTTGCAAGTTGAATTTCTCATGATATTAGCCATTTTGTAGCGCAGGCATACTTTTCTTGCAAGTGAAAAAATAATACTGAGGATCTCTCGTCCCTTCCCCCCAGGACCTGATCCAGTTCCTCCACAATTTAATAGACATCTTCAGAGCTTAACCTAAATCAAACCTTTTGAGAATACTCATAGTACATGTATTTGATTTATCAATAGTTGCATTGCCATTTAAGTATGTAATGTATTTGAGACTGAATATATTGTGAAGTCTGTAGCTACATACTACATAGAATTCTTGTACCTTCCCATTTTTCCTGAAGAATCATATCACACTTGCATTTTATTTGTTAAAGCCCATTACTATAAGATACACTTGTAAATGAGCTTGACTGTGTTAAGCAGCCCTTGTTACTTTCAAACTGGCCAAAATAAAGTCCTGAATAAAAAATAGCTTTATGATTTCAATCTACCGTAAAGAGTTTTAGGTGTAATTAATATGATTTCAATCTACCATAAAGAGTTTTAGGTGTAATTAATATACTTAAAATTAGCACTCCTATCCACACCAGGGGTGTAGATATGCTCTTACTTAAAACTTCAGATTATATATAAGGTTTTTTTAGCATTTAAAGTTTTCTTAGAGGAAAACTTAAGGTTCTACATTTTTTTCCCTGAACAAAGTCTCTGTTTTCCATACATGAACCTTTTCTAGAAATTGCAGTTTTAATGGAAAGTAAAAGTGTTGCATTCCTTATGCTTTCAGCTTCTAGCTACCTTGTTGAAGTTCAACACAACTGAAACAGTGATAATATTGTGATATGGAACGGAATTAGGTTGTCACTGCCAATTCTTCTATAACACAGAAAACGAAACCTAATGACTTTTACTTGTCTAGCTTAATCAGGAGCTGACAGGCTAGTCCTTGATTTTTTTTTTTTTTTTTGGTAAGCAAAACTGAGAATGTGAGGTGGAAGAATTGCTGAAGGAATGTCCCAGAATCCCATTATTTACTTGGTATATGTTCCTTGTTAAAGATTCTCTGTGCTTATTAAAGTATCTTCTTGTTTGGTTACAACAGAACTCTTTTTCTTGTCTTCCTCTGTTACAGTCTGACTCATCTGTTCAAACAGCTTTGATATCTTGGCAAATCTCAAGTGATTCTGAAATCTTCGTGCAGCAAAGGCATAAAGTAGAGGGTTAATACAGCTACTGATGAATACAAGTGCTCCAGAGATGTACACTCCTATGTTTAAAATTTCATCCAGTGCTAAAGACACTTCTTTGTTAGAGAGTTCTATCTGTACTGAAATAATCTCCAGGATGTTAAAGAGATGATGTGGGAGCCAGCATAAAATGAATGCCACAACCACACTGGCAATCAGCCGTTCTGATCGCCGCTTTGATTGGTAAGTCATTTTGCTTATTCTTTTTCCAACACACACATAACAAGTGAAAATTATTAAAAAAGGAATTGCAAAACCTGCAAGAGTCTCTAGCAAAAGATATGATACTTTCTGTCTATTAGAAGAATAGTTGCGACATGTGCATTGTAGTCCACCATTCATTTCTTCTGTCTCTTGAAATGGAATGACAGAAATGCCAAAAGTAATAGACAGGAACCAAATGAGGAATATGATTACAAAAATCTTTTCTTTTGTTTTATATTTTTGAATCGTGAAGGGGTAAAATACAGCCAGTAATCTCTCCAAGCTCAGTGCCGTAATGAGGAATATACTAGCATACATGCTGCAGTAAATAATGAAAACGAGTATCTTGCAGAAGATAACTCCAAAAACCCAGGAGTCAGCAAAAGAGTAAATCCAGATCGGTAGCGTAATCAGTACAAGGATATCTGCGATGGCCAGGTTCAAGATCAGCAGGACTGAAGGAGATACTTGCTTCATTTTTGTACAAACAGTCCAGATGACAATGCAGTTTCCAGGGGTCCCAACAATAAACGACAAGCTCAGTATTATGCAGACTACTGACCTCTCAATGTTCCATGTCAAGCGGCTACTGCTTTCCTCAGTCTGACTCATCCTGGACATTCTTCAGTTCTTTTTGGATGCTAATGTCCTCTGTGCTTTGCACTCTCTCCTTATTCGGAAGGTATAGGTGAACTATCTGGGAGAATGTTCCTTGGATTGGAAGGTGCAAATCAGACTGTAACTGATATGCTGTAGACTGGTAAGGCATATGAGCTCCTATTGTTCCCTCTTACAATCATCTAACCATATATGGTACTTCCTGCTGTTTAGGAAGACAGTATGTATTTTTGCATGCAAAGCAAAGATAAAAATACTGTGTAGCACTTGACTTTGCTCTTAGTTGCATCTATCCTACTTCAACACATCTTAAAGCATGGAGGTTGTGTTTCAAAAGTCTTTTTTTTTTTTTTTTTTTTAAAGAAGTTGGCTGCTTGGTTAAAGTTACTGATCTAATAAAAAAAAACCACAGGGCGAAAGAAAACCTTTTAATGCTGTTCTACTATTGTTTGTATGACCAACTCAGTGTTTTATTTTAGAAAAGAGAAAATCATCAAAAGGGTGGCAAATAAAACTGTAAGTGTCCACTGCATCTTTAATGTAAGAAACTGCGATCTAAAGCATGAAAAATTACTGTACTTCCTGCCTTCATGTCATTTTTTAATGTAGCAGAAAACAGTTGATCTTGATCGTGCTTTAGAAATAACACTGGCATAAAGGAAATCAGTGTTTGTCCTACAGTGAGATTGTACTGATATAATAGAACTGGCTAGGGATTGTATTTCTAATGTTCTGCGAAAGCACAGTCCTTTAGCCAAGTAACAGCCACAAGAATAGTCTGGCTATAGGGTTGGGAGGAAATGATTAGGTTGTTCCGCTGGTGTGTCAGCACCTGACTGTGCCTTTATCGCCTAGGAAAACTGTTTTTTAGTACATTAAACAATTCAAATGCTGCATGAATTGTATGTTCCTCAATGTCTGGCCAAAGAATATGGAAGTATTTTGTTACCCTGATGTCAGAATGTGTTCTTTTAGATTCTTTATTTCTAAAAAGTTAGAGGAGGAAGTAAAACAGCAGCACCAACAAAAATGGTCAAGTGTCAGGGAAGTGAAACTGAAAGGGTGTTTTACTTCAAAAGGATCCATGGGGGGGGGGAAAAAAAAGTTATGCATAGCTCTTGCTTTTTAATTTTAAAACTGTGATTTGGGTTATTTCTTTAAACATTCAGTAAGTATTTTACAAAACCTGGCAAATGTAGTTCATTAGGTTAAGTATCTTTCACTTGAAAAAAGGATTGTGAAACCTCCCCCACCCCCTGCCACGAGCTTAGTTTGTTTTTAATCTCATTTTAAAACTATAATGAGATGAAAAACAAATCCAAAATAATTCCACTGAAGTCAAGAATTATATTTTCAAAATACTATTTGTGTAATAGAGATTTTGATTTGGATTTGATCTGATACATGATTCCAGTTCCTTTTACTTTTACCTCTGTCTAGTGAAGATGGTGTAGGGGGAAAAACTGAAACCAATTGTTTGCTTTCTACAGGGAACTTCTGAAAACCGCTTGTAAAATTCCACCAATGAAAGGAAGTGTTGGGCGGTGTGTCTTCTGCTAATGAAATCACCTTTATACATAACATTATTTCTCCACAAGAAATTTTTGAAGGGTTATTTATTTCCAGTGCTAATATCTAGATTGAACTGAGTTACAGATATTCATATATTTATTTTTTAAAGGAAAAAAACCAAGACAGATCCCCAATATCTCAGTAACACCTTCTGCCTCAAAAATTCACTCTCAGTGACAAAGAACAGTTATCCATACTAATATTGATTGGTATCAGTATTAGTTAGTATAGGCCTAATCCAGTGACATGGGATCTGCTTGTACTTCTGAAGCATCGGTCCTTTTTTTTTTTTCCCTTTTTTAGAAAGGTGTGTGTTTTCCACACTCTAGTAGAAGCTTGCTTGCCAGATGATCTCTGCCTCTGATCTTTTATTTAAACAAGAAAATAAATGAATCTCCGCATTCTAGCAACTGCCTGGAATTTCTGTTCCAAAAAAGATCCCAGACAGGTGTCTGGGATGCTGAGATTTCCTGAGTAAGACTCTGAAAGCAGGCAGGTTTCTAGGGTGTTAGATTTAACACTAGCCGAGGACCATGTTTCTGAAGAGCTCTATATCATCGTTAGGATCACTATGGAAATCTCAGACCCTAAAATGTCTTTAATATTCTCTTGAAGTATCTGACTATTATTCCTTGAATTCACACTAGCAGAAAACATACTTCAGGGGAAATTTAACAAATATGTCCATTAGCAAGGGGAGCATGCCCCCTGTTCAATAACATGCTGAGTAGTATAGTAGCTAAACAGCTCAGCATCTTATTCATTCTAGTGACCAAATGTGATGGGGTTCTGAAGGGATGAATGTGCAGTTGGACTTCTGACCTCATTAACTCTGGTCTAACTGTATTAACAGCAGTGAAATTGGTCTGCGTTTCTATGTTAAAAAAACCTGAGATCTAAATCTGTGAGTTTTGTGTGTGTGTGCATATAATATATACATGCTATTTGTAGTGCATATTATATATAGTGAATAGTCAGTCATTAACATTGGAAACTTTCTGTTAAATCTGTTACCTTTGGCAAATAACTTCTGAAAATTTTCCAAGCTTGAGAAGTCTGTGCTATTTGTAAAGCAAACAAACAAAACTGAACAGAATTTGCTGTGGTTTAAGTGTTAGCAAGGTGCTTCATTCTTTCTTCCAATTACTTATTTCTCTTTGTATGCATGAGGTTCCCTCTGGTGGATGGTCTGTAATTTACAACACTGAGCATTTTCAGACAGATAATGCATTTAGATCACTATGTTTAAACTGTAATATTTCCAGCTTTTGCATGTTTATTCTGAGGATCAGGAATTCTCTCCAAGATACTGAGAATCTTTGGTTTTGGCTGTAAAGAAGCATGCTGATATAACGCACCTAGCTTTTCCAAGAAGCTAAAGGTAAAAGCAAAAATAACATATGCATATAGTAATATATTCTGTCAAATCTTCTACGGAAAGACAGTTTATCACAAGAGAAGCCATGATCCTGATGTACCGTGTACAAAATGCTGCAAGATAAGCACCTAAACACAAGCTGTCCTCCCTAGAAATGCAAAGTAACTTTATCCTGCTTTCTTTGCCACAGAATGCTTTAAGAAACTGCAGCATGAGCTCTGGATCATAACTGCACAGCCTCCGCTCGCAGATACATCCACCCCTCCAAGCAATAAGTGCATGTCTCTGAGAATTTATTATAGTGTTAGCTGATGCATGGGAAATCTGTACAACATATAAATTGTATGAACACTTGTGCCTAAAAGAAAGGTTTTCCTTTAAAATTCTTTTTAGCATTTTCTTCAGAAAGACCCACTGGATGTTTTTTATGTTTAATAAGTGATTATACAAGAATGAATGGTAAGTGCTGTGTATGTGCTGAAATGATGGACACTGATATTGGTAAGTCTGTTTGTCTGCTGCTGATGAAGGGAAGTTACTAGTCCAAACTCTCTAGTTCTTCAACCATTGAAGCAAAATGACGTTTAGAGGATTCAAACTCAATTCAATGGTGCTATAAAGGACAGTGTGAAAGTAAAAGACGTTGCCTTCATGATGAGAAAATTATGGATAGTCCATTCTCTAAGCCACGCCAACTTGGTATTGTTCATTAGTGTTAAAAACAAAACAAAAAAAACCAAAAAAACCCTGACCTAAACGTCGCTTTCATGATTACTAGAGTGGTCTCATATAAATGGAATTTCATGGTGGTGTACAAGAGCTAATAATACTTTTGCTCTGTGAGTACTGCAAAGGAAAGTGTAGTGTAAGAAGAGACATGCGCCAGACGTTTTTAAGCTCTTGCAAACGCTGTTCACTGTGGCAGTCCATGAGGTAGCAAGTACAAGTTGGAACACTCTCAGTCCTTTATCACCAAGGAAAACAACTTAATGAAGAGCTGTCTTGGGATCAGCTCGTGAATACATGAAGATGTGTACTTTGCACTATAAATAGAAAGTTTCTAGTATTCTATGCCACATGTGTTGTTAACCCCTCTTCTTCTAATAAGCATATTACAAAACGATATTCCCTACCGAGCTCAGTAGGAAACAGGAATAGTTTTATACAACTGGCCAGCAGAAAATAATTCCTGTTCATCCCAGTCAGGAAATCTATATTAGAACCCTTCATAGGAACAGCCCTTATAAAGCCAGTATTGTACGTATTTCAATGCATGCTTACATTTTCACGCCTTTCTTACTGTAACAGAATGATCATGGACAATCAGAACACGGTGCCCGCAGCTGTGAAACTATTAAAGTACATGGCGAAATATTTTCCATGTAAAATCAGACATACTGGGCTCACGAGAGTGGAAGTTGCAATCAAAATGGTGGAGATCCATATTTACAGTTCTGAATACAAGCAGGAATATGAATAAGAATTACATAGACATTTTGGAAAAACTTAAAAAATATTTTCTCCAGAGCATTATGAACGTGCCGGTTTTTAATTTCCTGTTATTTCTAGAGCAAGCTTTCAAGCAGTATATGTATAGGTTTGTTACCATTAATGGTGAGACTTTGGCCGGTTGTTTTAAATGTCACTATTTAGCAGCCACTACCTTGCTATTTGTATGTACACAGACTGCTGCTATCCAAAAATCCTTATCTACATAAGCACATCTGGCACCATAATTGCTACTGGGTAGATCAAATACAGTGTTTACATACCCCTCCTTTAGGAGTAATAGATTGCTTACGACAAATATTGCTGGGATGTTTGGTGCCAAAAGTTACCTGATGTGTTTTCTTTACTGTTTATCTAAACCCACTGCCACTTCTACCTCTTCTTTTCCTCCTACACAGGGCGGGATTTCATCTAAATATTATGTTAATGTAGCATCCTTGTCTCATTGTAATTCAGCAGTTTAATGAAAGAAAGTCTTTGGCAGTGCAGTGCTCGCGAAAGGCCTGTGATTAAAAAAAAACCTGTATTGTGTTGTGTAGGCACTGCACCAGTAGATGGTAGCTGCTGTTCGGCACATAAACCAGGCATATACTATTTCTTACCGTATACTCCTACGTAAAGGGACTTTTCCATGTAGTTACGTATTTTCAACATGGGGAGGCATTAAGGAATCACCTACTGTTCTCTCGTTGGCTAACGCTGCAGACTTGTGCCGTACCAAAGCTACTCCAGGATAGTGTTAAAAGCCTTTCCCTGCACATGGTGCGTGGAAGTTCAAGGCTGAGGCCCACAGAACTGATCCTCTTGCATAGAAAAGTTAGATGGCTGTGACTTAAAGGTCAATGTTGTTTCTGTCTTGTAGTTAATGCTATTTTCTGGATAACTGCATATTTTTAGCTCTCTTGTTTTCAGCTCTGTTTTAATACGTGTCCACTTCCAGTCTGCTATATTCTGCTCTCACTAATATAATAAGGGCAGTCTCCTTAAATGAAAACAACTAGGTGTCTGATTTCATTTTCTGTGTCTCTGAAGCAGCAAAGCTCGGAGAGTTTAACAACGATATGAACAACAATAGTTCCCTCAGGGTAGTTTCCATAGTATGTGTTTTTGTAATCCCTTTGAAAAACAGACCAAATTGTACTCTCTCATGTTGTGGTACAACCCTGCTTTGCAGATCTTAAGATCTGAGAAGCTTAAGAGCTTTATTTAATTGCTTTAGTATGCAAGTACTTTTTGACCACTGGCTTGGGCCCCAGTGTGACGTGAAGTCTTGGTTTTGTGACCTTATGTCAGGAACCTGGTTAACTGTGCTGTTAAAAAGACTGTACTCATTTTATGAGTAATACAAGGATTTCCTCCTGCTCTGTAGCAGCTACCACAGGTGTGTTAGCTAAAGACGCTTGCAGAGTAACACATACGCCCTCTGTCACTTAGCCATTAGCATACCTGGTATGTTGCTCTTCACGGCCAGAGAGAAGCCAGTGCATTGTACTCTGCTGCTGTTCAGAATGATCTTGTCCAAGCATTCTTATCCTGAAATAAAAAGTACTCAAGATTGATTCTAAGAGGCCACACACAACTATAGTAACAGATGTTTACTAAATTTTTATATAGAGAACATACTCTATGGAAAATGTGCAATACTTCACAAGGATTCTTTAGGCATTGGTTATTTGCTATGTTTCTGTAAGGTGACCTGCTGCTTCTGTATGACTTTTATGTAATACTAGAAATGGCTGTGAATAAGGAAGGGTTCATCATTAAATGAAACAAGTCTATTCACTGGCAGAAATTGCTAGCACTTATAATTGAACAACTCATTACTATGCTGAAAGTACCTCTTTAGAACTGAGTTATTTTTAGATGATGTTTTTAGATCTTTAGAAAGACTTAGTTCCAAAGGTCACTGTGTCATTTTTTTTCTTCATTTACTCCAGATGCTCTATGGCCACAGAGATCCTTATGTGATGTAATTACCTGGTCATCCTCACACCTCAGGTAGTCCTCTGTCTGGCAGAGCTTTGTATCTCGGTATGTGGTGCCTTCTACTCTGCGCTTAAACTAGTAAAAGTCAAGTCTCATTTGAATATACCATCATTTGGTATTGTATCAAAGGCAGTTTTAGATAGCGTATGCAGTTTTTCTTGGCAGCTTTTGTCCTGAGTGATGCCTCTCTCTGTGGGAAGGGTTTAGTCCTCAATGATTTTGAATGGTATCTCTTTAATATCAGTTCTTTCCCCACACTGCAAACGTGTAAATACTTTTTTCACAATTGCTGTTTTCCTGTCACTTGAGCAGCTACATGTTAACCAAGTACTGTGGTATCTGACCACAATATTACTGAAACCATTGCTATATTTCTGCTTAGTTCCCCTGTGTACTAGCTGGACGTATTTCATATCAGTATAGTGGAATGTTCATTATGTGCAACGTATCCTGATACGCAGCCCTGGTTCTCTGTATTCTTCGGAATCTGTTTACAGCTACCAAGTGAATAACAGAATACACAGTAGGAAAAACATTCCTAAGGAAATGTTGCTCTTGCTAGACCCTGCTGCTGAGTATCAGCTGATCAAAGTATGATGGGTCTTCCCCCTTTTTCTCCCAATGACATATTTAAGTTTCAAATTGCAGATCCAGCTACAAACTTTATCCAAGTTCTAGTTTTCTGATTCAGGTTTTGCACAATGTTGGGCTGAAGTAAAATTCAGGAGATTGGCTAGGTTATTATCTATAATGATGTAATACTAAATTCTATACCATGTTAAACAAATATTAAGAAGAATGCTCCCTAAAGCATTTAAAAATAGAATTTAAATAGAGATTGACAAATTTCTTTTGAAAAACTGGTAGGGTTTTTTTTTGTGTTATCTGAAAACAGTCATCTTCCGTGAGCACAACAGAAAAAAACAGTACTGTCTAGCAGCTTGCTAAAATAAGGGAATATCCAAGAAAAGACAGCAAGATAGTGTGAGGTTTTGAAAGAGCTGTTTTCCCCAGCTAAGCAAGACATCCTTGTAGCCTACATAAATAGCAAAACTGTTTTCACAAGTTATGTTAGAATAAGATCCAAGCAGGAGAGTTGAAATTTCCTCACAATGGTATATTCTTTAACAGGAAATCATGAGACCAATTTATCTGCCATGTGAAAGCGCAGAGTTTTCTTGCTTTCAGTAGAAAATTTGTTTTTGTCATATGATAGCAGTATCCATTTTTTATCACTTCTTAGGCTTGTAATATGAGCAGCTTCACTTCCAGCTGCCAAGCATTGATAGCAAAATGATTCTCACCATGCCATGAAGGAGCTCTTCAGAGTTATTCTAGACACATATTGCAACGTAGCGTGGTAGCAATATTTAAAGCATCCCAAGCTGTTTAAGAAACCTTTGTTCTACTGAAACCATTTTCTGAAAGTACTATGTCAAGGAACTCTTTGGCAAGCTTCCCCTTTCTTTCTAACTCGTCCTGAAATGGCTCCAAAATACTATTTTCCAGTCTAAAACGTGACAGGTCAGTTCACTGTCCCCTGTTCAAACTGCCTTTAATTTGGTACTAATCCTAGAAACACAAGAATTAAATGAAGGAGTGGAATCGTGTTAGAATCGTTACCTGCTGAAGTCATTTGTAGTTTCAGATGCTGAACAGCGCTGCAAAACTCAAGCTCATGTTCTCAACTGTGTATTTACGGCTATGATGTTTCCTGTGTTGAGAAGGGATCAGTGGGAAGAGGATGGATCAGCACTTTGTTTTTTAAGGTTTGTGCAGATAGAGAGCATTCAGAGCTATAAATTTACCTTATGTCTCTGCAGGTGGTTGATGCCAGCCCCTGTGATCAAAAACTGCGAGACACTAAGTTTTCATGAGATGGCATAGCAGATTGTAAAATTAGGTCTTTCTATATTCTCGTTGTACTGTTTGCTCAATAGAACTATCAAGATAACTATTCTGATCTAATTCCTGATCTGAGCAGAAAGATAGCAACAGATGACGTTCAAAGGTCCGTTCCAAACTTAAATTTTCTATGATTATACTTCTGCGTTTATATGTATGACACAGCCTCTGATACAATGCTACTCATAATGTTAGTGCTTATACTATTTTCCATGATTAACCTTTCCCAATTGCCTATGTCTCCCTCAGCCTTGGGAGGGAACTATGAATCATCAAGCCATACTGTTTTAACCTAATGTGCCCAAGGGATGGAATGGTAAGTGCTCGAGCACAACCATTTAGATGTATTTGTAGGCTCTCTCTTTCCTGGAAAAGTCACATCAGCCAAACACAACAGGCAGTGCACTGATAATCCAAGCTCAGATTTGAACAATTAGTTTTATTAATGTTAAGAGTTTTTTAGCAAAATATTAATTAAGTTCCATTAACAAAGTTTGGATCTTTTTTATTCGGCTCTTAATTGTAGTCAGTCTTCCTGCTTGTATCTATATTTTAATGTGATTATCTTGACTTAAAAGTATAGAAAATACGTGTACGGGTAAGTGTATGTACGTTGTGTCTCCACATCTAATAAGTCTGTTTTACAGATACATCTTTTAGTGTTATTGTATACATGTTTCAGAACCAAAGAGCCATAACACAAAACGGAGGAAAAAATCTTGTGTTTTACAACTCGGTTTAAAAAAAAAAAACCTTCTCTCTTCAGCACATTTTTGTGCACCCATGAAAGAGGAACTCTGAAATTGTCTCCTATAGCTGACATCTCTCAACAAACGTGATCAGTCAGATGTTTTTCCATCCTTCAGTGTCTGAACAACTTAGCAATGAAAATAAGTAAATGGAATCTTAATGAGATCAGACATTCTTCTGGATAAAATACTAAATAGCTAACTTACATGAGTTTCAGTTCTCCTGGATACACTTATGTTTCCAGAAATTGATTCCCTTTTGTCAGTAATCTACTAGTAGCAGTATTGTATCTTTTCAGAAGCAACTAACAGTAAATTTCCTAAGCCCTGTATTTCTCAGCAACCTGCCCGACACCCAGCCCAACTGAGACACCACGCAAGGTGTAACACTGGATGAAATTGCGTACTAAATAGAAGAATAATAGTCTCCTTGCCTTTTCATTATATGCTGCTGTTTGACTCATGCCACGTTACAAACAAGATTTCTTTTGCTTACGCAGCATGTTACTCTGCCCCAGCCACTCTTACAGTCCTGTAAGAGATGTTTGCCTTACAAGAGCAGTATGCTGAGCTCCTGCATTAACTCTTCTCCAAATCGGCTCTTCTCAGCAAGCTAATCTGAAAAATATGTTGCCTGAAAATCAAATCATCTTGATACTGTTCTGCCTTAGACAGTGCAGTTTCTCTGCATAGCAAAAAATGTCAGGCTCTGTCACTAACACAGCATGCGCTAGGAAGTTCCTGTAACTTCTGGGAACTTGTGCATGACATGAGCTATGCCTGAGGGTTCAATGTAGCCAGTTTTCATTTCAACACGGATCTTATTTTCAACTCTTTTTCTGATATACCCCTCCTACACAAAATGTTATCTTCCCCTTCTATCTTCCTGCTACTCCCTTTATTCTTTTTGTACTTATTCCTTATTTTGTCTTGCATTAACCTCAAAATTCTTCAGTGGTGCAACTCAGAGCACCGGTTTTGAGTGAATCCTAAGTAAAACTCCCAGTACCTTAAATACCAGCATTATCGCTTAAAATTTCTCCCAATTCTGGCAAAATTCTCTTTGATTCAGCAG